GGTGGTGGCAGTTGGGCTCTGAAGGTTTTCCTGAGGAGCTGTGTGGTTTGGTGTGTGTGGTTCTAAAAATAAAGTTTGTTTCTTTTGACCAGTGGCTCCTGAATTGTGCTCAGCCAGACTGTGGCACCCAGTCCTCGAAATTCCAGGCTCAAAAGCTAAGGAGGGGAATCAGGGAAAGGAAAGATCTCACCTTGAGGGAAAATTTTCTCCTATCCACATTTCCTGTGGATTGGGGGCTTAGTAGGTCATACTCTTTCTAGGGGCTCAGGGATGAGGGCTGGAAAGGCTACTCACCAGGGCACTTCCAGCTGTTCCCAGTCCTCCTGGGGTGTACCTTGGAGGAGTGTGTGCCACTACTCCGCATCACTCCCAACCTCAATAAGAGCCTTACACAATCAGCCCAAGTGAAAATTAGGAAAGAAAGCTGGAAGAGGAAGCACAAGGGCAAGAGGAGGAACCACAGGAGGAGGAACCACATTTGGTTGGATCCATTCATGAAATTTAGGAGTTCTCATTTATCCATAAGCTAATTTTGATACTGTGACCATCACAAGCACCAAGTAGACACTACAATACCATATACAATGCCATACATGCTTTTTCATGGGTAAAATAGAGCCTATCACAGTATGACACAGAAAGAACCTGTGCAATTGGGAACATTAGGAATACAGTCTGAGCCATGGTGGATGCTGAAGTCAAAAGTTCAGGTGGCCATGCATCCTTCATCTGGAAGATTTATTCCCACTATTACTATTGTTTATTTCCCTGCTCAGGACTCTTTAAAGGAAAAAGGATTTGGACATATGAGGCTCTTTCCATTGTTTTTCCCTGTCCCTAGCCCTAAATTTTTTCCGCTATTTTTGGTAGGCTCCTGTAATTGAATTTCCCCTTGTGCATCTAACCTCCTACCCTCCATATGTTCAATCCCCCTTATTGGGGATTTCTTGCATAACCAGGGCCCCTAACTGATCAATCCTACTTACTAGGGATTTCTTGCCCAGCCACCAAAGAAATAGTATATCTCCCTCAAGCTTGAGATACATTTTCCTGCTTTGGTCTATGTATGTGCATAGAATTACTTGGTTACTACGGTACTTGCCTGGGCCCTTTTCCTGTGTTGTCTCTCCACTTTTGATCCACTTTGGAATTTGGGTTCTTTGTTGGCCTCAGGGATGGCAGTTTCCTCCTCACCTCCGTGGTTACCACAACAAGGCACCAGGATGTGTTTCCTCTGAGGAGGGGGATCACTGAGACCCCTAGGCAATGCATGGAGCCCCATGATGGGTGCCAAAAGTGTTAGATGAGGTGCTGTGGGAAATGAAACGTGCTTGAAAGTGGGTAGGCAAGGCAAGCTTTTACTTCTTCCGAAGGGCTGTGCTACTGGAACATGGCCAGCAAGAGCACCTGGGCGGGCAGCCTGCCTGTTTACATACCTAAGGCAGTGCTGCCCTTTTTCCTGATTGAAGGTTTTTTTTTTTAAA